TTCTATCGTGAAGCAGTTGTGTTTGTATAGCTGTGTTTCGCATTAAAAGGCAATGAAATTATAGGGTACAGAGGCATAACATTTTAGTCCTCAGAGATGACAACGCATGAAAAATAACATGGGTGACACAGTATACTCTGTTATGTCCATGTTTATAGGCGACGGTTACCACTTTTTATTAGGTGAGCCGTCAGCTTGTTCGCAATTATAAATTGCATAAAAAAGTTAGTTTTATAATATCACTAATATTATAAAGCTAAAAGTTAGAGCATTTTGCCTATTATCTGTACCTACCTATTTCCTCTGAGAAGTGACAGTTTAAACATATGAATATGGATGGATGCTTCGGCTGTTTTAGGAGCTTAAGGTTTTAGATCACGTAATAAATAAATCGAAGACAATTTATTTATTTAACTCCTTATTGCACCATAAACAAAAATATACAATGACAATTGAACAATTCATGTGAAATACAGTAACATAAATACAAATTTAAATATACACATAAAGGTACAAAAGACGGGCTTCTAGCCTTATTTTTTCCGTAATATATTTTTTATATTATTATTTTGGATATTGGAACAGTGTTATTATTATCCCAGATTTCATCGGTCGGTGCATAGTGACGATTATTTTGTGAATTGTGATAATTTTGTTGCTTATTTCGCTTGCAATTAAGTGAAAAAATATACACCTAAGTACAATCGAAAATATTTCTCTCTACATAACACTTTTTTTTTTAATAAAAGTAAGTAGTAATGTTGAATAATAGCTATCATATCGTATAATGACTGTTCGCGACACAGTCGTGAGACGTGCTCATGAATAAGGGTTCAAATCGAGTTCGAAACAAGTCGGGCAGTCCTCAAGATAAAAATAAGTGAATAAAACCGATATAAATATTTATAGAAACAGTAAATTAAAAGTAAACTTTATAATAAAATAAAATCAAGAGAATTATTATTTTTTTCCTTGTATTAATAATCTATTATTGTACCTATACAATAACTGGAATTTAATTGACTTACTATAGGTTATCACTCATAAATGTAACTCATTAACAATGGGGCCATTAATCCCCATTACTAAAAATCCCTCCCGTTCCCTCCGCTCCTTCGTAGCGAGTGGGGGTAGACAGTGATGGATTCGTTTCTCATTTGTTTAGGAGGGCTGGATAGTAATATTATAGCTAGCTAGTTGTAGGGCAATCGTATTATTTTTTCTCATACAAACCATAATATACGATACGACCCACCGAGAATTAGGTGGCTATAATATAATTCTATTATAAATTTAGTTTACCCTGAACTTTATTATAACAATTTTGCTTTAATACCAAATTTCCTATCTAATATAAAAAAATCGCTAACCGAAATTAATGGGTTCGCAAAATCGGGAGCAAGTTTACCTGGTACGGCTTCACAAAGTACAGATTAAAACTGCTCTAATGTTACGGAATTAATTTGAAACAGTTTGTAAAATACTCTGGGGATGATTAAATAGATTTTTAGTTAATTGCTCTACCAATAAATCTTTGAAGATTTATTCGAAATACGAAAATGCGTGCATCGTTGAAAAACAGCATTTACAGTTACTATTATAATATATTATAATATTATATCGCCATGTGGTCACAGCATAGAATAGGCCACCCCTTCCTTTCCCGTGGGTGTTGTAAGCCGACTAAGGGAGGACGAAGGATGGGCAGCAGCGTCCCTCTTAAAACATCTCTTAAAGACTAACTGCGATTGACAAACCGCCTGTCAAGCGTGGCAACTACTGGAAATACTCCATTTATGGGGAAGGCTTATGTTCAGCAGTGAATAGTTAACGGCTGAAATAATAATAAATTTAAATATTTACGGTATTATCCACTACTTGTAATCTTTATTTGCGGAAATTAGGACAAAAAATGTATTATTAGGATAAAAAGTGTATGTGATAATTTAAAATATTTAAATATGTTTATTTTTTTTAAATACATATGTTTATTTTTTATGCATTCCAAGTGAATGGCAAATAAGGTAACGGTTCTTTTGGGAAAAAGTGATAACCTATATACATGTATAGTATCATGATACTATTTATGCATCGCCATTCCTGAGAACTAACATGTTATACTGTCGTACGCTGTAGATTTACTACCATATTCTACTTTTTACACTGAAGCATAACCATGCATAGCACCGCTACTTTACGGCAGAAACATGAGTGGATTAATGCTATGCAAACGACTATTTATAAAGTCGGGATGACTTTATAAAAAGGTAAATTGTTATTAGATTGATTTTCTATTAATTTAGTCCAGATTGACGTCAGTGTTTTTTAATCTCAATTTATTGAGTTTTCCTTTTTTTTTCTTATCAAAGAAGTATGTATATAATCTTAGATTATATAGATAGAGCCTCGAGCCTCAAAAACGGGTTAACTTTTTGTTAGCTAATTGTCAAATTAGCTGTCTCGTTTTTTTTATTAATATTCTATATACTTACGCATATAATGTGTCTTGACATATTATTCAATAAAAAAATTAATATTTATGTATTAAAAAGATGAAGAAATTATAATACAAAAAACTACTTATCACGCAAAATTGTATGAAAAAGTTGACACGTTTTTCTCGAAGCATTTGTGTGGACACTCTGTCTGTATAATCTTAGTATAAATAATAAATAATAACTTTATTTTTATTTAGATTTATTTCAAAAGAAATTCACAAAAATGTAAATAAATGAATAATCGAGCCGACCATAAGATAGTCTGCTATTATCGATGAAAAATCGATTAATAATTGATTGAACGTTTCGATTTGTTATTCATTTCATTTAACCTTTTCTACGACAAATTCAACGCAACTTGATTACTTCTTTACTAAGTCCTTGCACTCTATGTATTATCATTCTTCAATTTCCTTGATTAATTATGTATACCAAGCAAGTCTATTCTAAAATGGTAATCTCACTGCCAAATGTCAAACGCATAAAGCTAATTTAACTTAGTTAATTGACAGATATAAGCGGTGTTTATGTTTTGAAAGCAGTTTATAATACTGTAAGTCATTTTAAGTAGAGTCTCCTGTGAATCTCGTAAGCTCCACTGGGATGAGTTGGTTAAATCTCGAACAACGTTGAAGTATATTATTATGTTAATAGGCCTTTTAAAGATACTGCATTTGCATTTTTGTACTGGCAATACTTATACCAGTAGAAAATGACTATCTAAAATTATTCTAATGGTAAATATGTAGCAAAAAAATTAACTTTTTTTTTTCAAAATTAAGAAAGAGGAGATGCCCTATTCATATATATTTTGTCTGTGTGTAAATATTCGATATATTTGCCAATTGTATTTTGAATTTACTTGGTAGATTTTTTTAATATAAGTAGTTTAGTAAGGATGTAAAACTGAGCTTGTTTGTTACTTCTTATCACATTAATAGCTTAATCAATCATCACAAAATTTAAATTACACGCACTACCAGAGGGAGACTTTGTACAAAAGTCGATTGCTTGGGTACCTCTGTCCCATTCGTGTTTCAACCATAAAGCAGTTGTGTTTGCATGGCTGTGTTTCGGTTTGAAGAGTGGGATATGGCGTGAATTTTCTGGGTACGGAGGAATAACATCCGAGTCCTCAGAAATGACAACACATGGACTCCCATGGCGAAATCATGGGCGAAACAGTATACTCTGTTTTGTCCATGGCACTGTTCATGTCTATAGGCGACGGTTACCACTTTCCATCAGGTGGGCCGTCAGCTTGTTTGCCATTCTAAGTTGTATAAAAAAAAAACTATTTGGGAAGGAGAAGGATATAGGCTACTATTAAACTGTGCCAATGCCGGTCAAATATTTTGATCACATGGACGAAGTCACGGGTAAAAGTAAATTAGTAAGGATTAAATTCTTTCAACACTAGTAAGAATTCAATAAGATAGATAATTTATGTGCATTATTTACAGCACACAAATAACAATAAAAACATACACATAATACAGACACAGTAAAAAGTGATAAAAAAAATTAAAAACTAAAAAAAAAACAAAATATATAAAACAAGAATTTCCTTCTTTCATGCGTGTGCCGTAGTAACACAAATAAATAACCATGTGGGTCCTGGCATAGAATAGGCCACTCCTTGCTTTCCCGTAGGTGTCGTAAGAGGTGACTAAGGAAAATTACGGTCGAGGGATGAGCAGCAGCGGAAAACAAAAAAAAATAACCAAAACGCAAACTGTGGTCGGCAGTGAATAGTTAATGTCTGATACAACAATGTAAAATAAATTTCAATGGTTTATAAAATCTTCATGATAGATTGCTGAAGTTATGAGTGAATCCCCATAAATACCGGATTTTATTCTGAGTGTAGCTTCGATTTTCTGTATCCACCCTCTGCTGCCTAATAAACAATGGTAAACGATTCCCATAATTTATGTGGAACACGTATTGCCAGAGACGGGCAGAACTGCCGATTGTCCAAAGTAATCACAACGTTAAATGACGTGTACATAAGTATTTTTCTTTTATTATCCAACCGTCGAAAAAAGTAGGGATAATGTTTCCAAGAAAGCAGTTTTCAAATTTAACATTCGTATTTTTTAGCTTTTAATTTGAAGTTTTCTTTTTTTGTGTTTTATTTATTTAATAATAATAATTTCATAGATGACGTAGGAAGATAGGTGTATCACTATTGTTTTTCCTAGATTTGTTATAATACGTGTTTAGAAAATAGAGCACCATATAAAATATATTTCGTTTTTTTTTTAATAAAACACAACATCAAGATATTTAGAGAGTTGACTTGTTGTAAAAATTATATGGATCGATTGCCATCTAGAGCAAAGAAATAAATTGATATAGCCATCTGAATATTTACCATATAACGTTATTGTGATAGATATTTAATAAGACGGAAGTATTCATAGTATTTTTACCAAATTTAGGACAAGGCCGTTATTGCGAATCGATATGCATTCAGTGAAATCGTTAACACGTACTCACCATGATTCGTCATGTAAGTGCTGCTCGCCATAAAACCCTGGCATTTGGGCCAGTTAGTAAAGCTGGCACGTTACACAATCTGAAAATAAAAAAAAAGTAATGTAGTTATTGCGTGCATTTTATTGACACGCGCTGAAAGCGCTTTATAGTCGATGTTTTTATTATATTTTACAATAGTTATAATTCAGTACCGTGTCATCACGGCATAGAATGGGCCACCCCTTCCTTTCCGATTATGATTGCGACTAAGGGAACTCAGTGATCGAAGAATGGGCAACAGCGTTCCTCTTAAAATATCACCAAAGGCAAATAGTGGTTGCCAACCCACCTGCCAAGCGTGGCAACTACTGGTAACCGCCCCCCCCTCCCAATAGGTGGAAGCCTATGTTCAATAGTGGACAGTTAACGACTGCTATGATGATGATAATGATGATCTTTATAATTTTAAATACTATTTTTTTTTTTTATGCAACTTAGAATGGTAAACAAGCTGACGACCCACCTCATGTAAAGTGAAAGAAAGTACGTAACATGGACAAAACAGAGTATACTGTTTCGTCCATGATACTCCCCATGCATTGCTATTCCTGAGGATTCAGGTGTTGTTCCTCTGTACCCTGTACATTCACTGCTTTATCCCACCCTTCAAACCTTCAAACTTCAAACATAAGTGTTTCACAGTAGAGACAAGAATGTGCATGCTTACTTTAGCATTTTTTCAAAATATGTTTCTTTCGTAATCGAAATTAGAAATAATACTTGAATACTTTTTTGGTTATGGAAATTATAATTGTAAATTATTCACGTGTATGTTTGTCCACTAAAACTGTACGCATAACATCAGAAGGCGAGGTTAAACTGCCACCACCAAGGTTAACGACAGTTCTATGGTTCTACCATAGAAAAAATATGTAATAGGCATGATTCTTTTATCAGTGGTCTTAAGAGATATCCACCTATTTATCTTGTTAAGTAATTATACACGGATATAATATAGTTTTTCATATAACTGGCACACGTATGAAAGATAAAAATGTTACTTGTTTTTTATATGTTGTTTTTTTTTGTATATGCATTCTTTTACTTCTTTTTCCTGTATACGTAACAGACGTTATTTGTGTTCTGTAAGTAATGCAAATAAATTATATATCTCGGTATCACATTGGCTTAGAACTCTTCCTTAAGCAGTCTATGGAGAAATTCTATGTTCAGCCGTAGGTAAGCGCTATGGTGATGATGATGACGATCTAATTTATTTAAATAGATCTTATTGAAAAGGTAATAATGTTTTGTTGAAATTATTACAGATAGTCTGAATGAAACCGACATTTAATCAATTAATGACTGGGGGGAAAGGGATTGTTAGTAATGGAGACTGAGAATCCTATTGCTAGCAATATACCTAACCAGATCGACCTTCTCGCGATTCTCCCTGGAAAATATCATGGTTAATTCCTGATGAATTCATCATGATGAGCTAACTGTACCTGCTTGTGTGCCTGTTTTTATTCTCATCGATCACCCTTCACTGGTGCTCCACCAGCGTATCTTGTTAGCGCAGGCGGGGTTACCATACCATTTTCACCCATCAAAAAAAATCTATTTATGGCTTTTGGATTTGGACTATTATTGAATATCAGCAAATTGTCTTCTAGTGATGTCATTAGTTGTTTGTTTATATTTCCATTAAGTTGTATATAAATAGAAATTTACCAGAGGGAGACTTTGTACAAAAGTCGATTGCTTGGGTACCTCTGTCCCATTCGTGTTTCAACCGTGAAGCAACTGTGTTTGCATGGCTGTGTTTCGGTTGGAAGGGTGGGATATGGCGTGAATTTACTGGGTACAGAGGATTAACACCTGAGTCCTCAGGAATGGCAACGCATGTGGGGTATCATGGGCAAAACAGTAAACTCTGTTATGTTCATGGTACTGCTCATGTCTATAGGCGACAGTTACCACTTTCAGGTGGGTCGTCAGCTTGTTTGCCATTCTAAGTTGTATAAAAAAAAATTGTAAAGACTTTTAATATACCTAACAGTTGATTAAATCAGTTGAAATAGCGGGAGCAGTAACAAACATACGTATTACATTTTAAACAAATTGTAATGTAATTTTGTGTACAATATTATATAAGAAATAAAGAACAAAGCATCTGTCCTTTACAATGGAAGACCAATTGAATGAAATTAATTTCTGGAAGTATCTCTTCAACAACCTCTTTAGTTAATGGACTGCGAAAACTCTTACGGAACATTTTTTTTTACGTGATTGAAATTTAAATGAGAATGGATAATGTAAATTATTAATTACGGTATATATATATTTTTTTAAATTAGCTAAAGATCGTTAGGGGAAAATAAAATGCTATCATCTTTTCTAATATTTCAGTTTCAGAGTTCACTGTTGAACGTAATCCTCCTCTATAGATCGGTAAGCCGTATCCGTCGGGGAGAAGAGATAATTAATAATGGGGTTTAACAATTTATTTAATAATATACACTGTTAAGTCGATCTCAACGCTGGAAACCATTTGGAAGGTTTCTGGTTTTGTCACGGTGCATGGACCAAATGACTTGACTTCATATCGCCCTTGAATTACTAATTAACACACCATGAATCAACCCGCTTGCCAAACGTGGCAACTACTGGCAAAACTTTCCTTATGGAGGAAACCTAAGTTCAGCAGTGGACAGTTAACGGCTGATGTTGCAGTACTCCATGTTCCCATTACTACGGATTCTCGTCACCAAAATTCAATAGTGAGGGCTAGATTTCATAAATATATCGAAAAATTAAAAAAAAAAACTCATCTATCATCACTCACTGCTCTCTTTTATGGATGATAATGGAATAGTTACCCCGCCTACGCTACGATGGTTTCCAGGGGGAACCGCGTGGAGGTCGACCTGATAGGGTATATTGTTAGTAATGGGGCTGTTATTAACAATACCTTTCCCCCCCAAACTCATTACTATCTCATCGATATATACGAGTATATAGCAAAAGCTTATAACAAATCGTCTTTAGCGTTGGCAGTTAATGTTTAAGAGACATCAATCTCGTTTTGTTGTGACATCGATTGATTTTTTTTATTTACGTCACGTAATCAAGCACATATATGAAATTGAAACATCTGTGAATATCAAAGTACATTATCCGAGCTAATGGAGTGTATTCGAGTAAAAAATTCAATTTAAATTACGTATTCCTTCGTTTTTCTCATATTTTTCTATAGATACAATTAAATTATAAAGACACGACCGACTGATTCTTTCCCGTTCGCTGGCCGAGTATTCAAAAATTTCAGTTTGGCAAGTTTTATAACATTATAAGTGATTACTTAAGCAATTTTTTTTCTTAGAAGCATTAACTTTAAATTGACCTCCATAATGGGGTTAATTTAGACAGCTAATGATAGTGTAATTATGTAACCCTTTTTAAGGGATCGAGAACATAAACTTGATTTTTTTTATACAACTTAGAATGGCAAACAAGCTGACGGCCCACCTGATGGAAAGTAGTAACCGTCGCCTATAGACATGAGTAGTACCATGGACATAACAAAGTATACTGTTTCGCCCATGATACCCACCATGCGTTGCCATTCCTGAGGACTCAGGTGTTATTCCTCTGTACCCTGTAAATTCAGGCCATATCCCACCCTTCAAACCGAAACACAGCCATGCAAACACAACTGCTTCACGGTAGAAACACGAATGGGACAGAGGTACCTAAGCAATCGACTTTTGTACAAAGTCTCCCTCTGGTCTTGATTCTGGTTTATAAAAAAAGTATATAAGACATCTAAGTCTATAAAGAATACTATAATAATATACTTAGTTATAAAGAAGAAAGACTTTTAAAGCTTGTTCATATATGTATACTAATAATATTAGTTCATTATAAATTTCTAATTAGCTTTCGTCTTAGAACCTTACAACATTAAATTCTTAAAATTAGAAAAAAGAACAAGCAAGAGTTATCTTTGCTTCAAGAATAACTTAAAATTGATACAAAAATTTTTAGTGAGATGTGAACTCATATATATATATATATATATATATATATATATATATATTGAGTTATTGCTCGCTAGAATATAGTTCACAATATCTTTTTTTTTACAACACAGGGGGCAATTGAGCATGCGGCTTACCTGATGGTAAGTGACTACCGCCGCCCATGATCACCCGCAACACTAGAGGCATCACAGGTGTGTTAACGGCCTTTTAAAAAGGAATGTGCTCTTTTTTTGAAGGTTATGATGTCGTATCGGTTCGGAAGTACTGATGCTGGAAGTTGATTCCAAATAGTGGTTGTGTGTGAAAGAAAGTTTTTTAATTTTTTTTTTATTACAATACAGGGGGCAAACGAGCATGCGATTCACCTGATGGTAAGTGACTACAGCCGCCCATGATCAACCGCAACACTAGAGGCATCGCAGGTGTGTTAACGGCCTTTTAAAAAGGAATGTGCTCTTTCCTAATTATTATTATTAATAATTTTCTTTATTTAATAAAGACATGTAAAAGTAACATAAACTTCTCATTACTACGTGAAATAATATCATTCATGAAGACCTCTATTATACAGGTTTATCAGGGATGAAAGGCTATTAAGGCAGAGATGTTCTTGGATTTACGGGATCAACCTGCTAAGGATATATCAGGGATACATGTATGAAATATCTACTTTAAGACTGTCATATGTGGGGGGGAGGGATGGGATTATTAGTAATGGAGATTGAGAATCCCATTGCTAGCAATATACCCAACCAGGTCGACCTCCTCGCGGTTCTCCCTGGAAACTATCATGGTTAATTTCTGATGAATTTATTATGATGGGCTAACTGGTCTGTTTTCATTCTCATCTATCACCCTTCACTGGTGCTCCGCCAGCGTATCTCGTTAGCGCAGGCGAGGTTACCATACCATTTTCATTCATCAAAAACAAAAACTATTCTATGTTATGTAAATAATTTAATGTTACAAATGAGGTATGTATAATGTAACAAATCCCCCGCGTAGAAATTACTAGTCTCCAATTCACTAGTATCTCTTTTGTTAATAAAAAAGA